AGGAGGAGAAATGCTGAGACACATGCCAGTTAAATATGTAACTTTAGTGAGACCCACCAGGGTCCCTCCTGCCAAGCCTATACCAGTCTATATCCCCACCAGCGGTACCTGGGAGTTCCTATAATCACCAACACACCCATACACACCTCCAACCACGGCCAAAATTCTTGGAATGATCTACCTTGCCGGTTTTTACCAGTCTACTGAAAATCCGTGAAGTTACATGATTTTTTAAAAGTAGGTTCCATGCCTGGGGCGCCTGGGTGGCTTAGTCGGTTAAGCGTCCGACTTTCGCTTAGGTCATGATCTCTCGGTTCGTGGGTTTGAGCCCCGCGTCGGGCTCTGTGCTGACTGCCAGCTCAGAGCCTGGAGCCTGTTTCAGTCTGTGACTCCCTCTCTCTCTGACCCTCTCCTGTTCACGCTGTCTCCCTCTCTCTCCTAGAAATAAATAAAACATTAAAAAAAAAAAAGTAGGTTCCATGCCTAATGGGGGGGCTTGAACGTACCACCCTGAGATCAAGAGTTACATGCTCTACCACTGAGCCAGCCAGGTGCCCCTATAGTTCTTTAACATTCCACCTTTCTCTGATCAGTTGGAGCACCTCTAAGTGTGCACATCAGTGAGGTAAGCTAGTTGATGTAACAACTCCCACATCTCAGTGGCTGAACAAAGTAAATGCTTATATATCTCTGTTCACTTCACAGTCCAGTGTGGAAGGGGTCCGGGGAGGGATACGGCTCCAGGCAGTCAGACTTCTACAGTGCAGCCCTGTCATTTCCAGAAGCCTCCACTGAGTTCTCCGCATTCAGCCCTTGGAGTAGGCAAGAGATACATTCACATTCCTGGGGCCAGAACCCATGCCATGGCCTGAGGCAAAGGACCCAAGAAATGGAATCCAGACAAGAGAAGACACAGAAATCAGTGAAGAGTTGCACAATCCACCGCAAAATGTTGCTCACTTTTGGAGATTCCTCTTCTATAAATTTCCTAATCACATCCTTGCTCCTGTTTTTCTTTGGACTTCCTCCTAGTCCAAATTTGCATATTTTGACTTGGCTACTTTTTGTGTATTCTAGAAGGTATTGGTTCCTTGTTGGTTTTATCCATTGCAACTCTTTCTTCCAATCTGTCTGCCTGTTCACTGGCTACAGGCCTATCATCAATCAGCAATCTAATTTTTACATAACCTACTTAATCAATATGTAGCCTTATGGTTTTTGTTTTTAAAATTGAGTTTATTATCGCTCACAGTCTTAACCTCTGAATTCCTCTGAAACGTGCCTCCTCCCTTGATAAGGCACTGTGTAGTAGAAAGTCCTGAAGGAATAGACCCCACCCAGAAACTTAATTGCAAGCTTCCAGTCTTTTCTCTAGCATACAGTTTGTTACAATTCTATAGGTCCTAACCTGGAAAAAGTCAGTTCTCCGAAGCTTCTGTAGGAATGCACAGAACTGTTCAGAAATCCATTTTAACTGGCTGGAGACTTGGGCAAGAGCCAGAGCGCAGGGCGTGTGCCATTAAAATGGTTGCAATCTTAAAGGGTGTGATGTTGGAAAGTTTTCAGACACTGGAATGCCTTTTAATGTCCCTCCCATGTTGTTTCTTGACTTTGATCTCTTGCTCATATTTTCCCCTGGCCTGGAAAGCCCTGTCTACCATTGCTTGGCTAAACCTACTTTTCCTTAAGACTCGACCTGGGCTTTACTTCCAGGCAGCCTTCTGTGACCTCCCTCAGCCCACCCCACATCTAGGTTAACTCACCTCCTCTGTGTTCCCCAGTCCCCGTCCTGCTTTCTCTTGTGCTGAACATTCCACACCACACTGCAGTGGCCATTTGCCCATCTGACTGTGAACTTTTTGGAAGAGCTGAAGCCAATTCTCCCTCATAGTCTTAGCACCGACGGGACCTGACACATGCGTTGGCATCAGTAGCTGTCGAGTGGATCTGATGGACTTGCCAGGCTCTCTCCACTGCACTTGGCCATCCTGCCCCTGCTTCATGAACTTTGGGGAGATTTACACTACGCTAGAGAGGGCCCAGAAGAATTCCACTCCAGCAGCCAGCTAGGGTGCCTCTCCCTTGCTCTGTCATGCAAGCTCTTTATGGGTTCATCCTTCAGCCTGAGGATCTGGGTCAGCTGGTCCTGGGCTTTAGTTTATGTTGCGGAAGGGGAGGGGGCAGGGCATCTTACACATGGTTGAGTGAAGGTCAGTGAAAATCAGAGTCCTCTGGGTGGGCTGTGGCCCTCCTCTCCCTGATTCCCACATTCAGAGATCAGGTTGGACAGGAGAGCAGGCCTCAGACAAGCAAGGTTGAGGGAAGTCGGTCATCTGCCCCATGGACCTTGCAATGCACCAAGCTCGAGGCTCCGCTGCCCCCTTGTGTCCAGAGCATGAAGGACAAGGGAAACAATCCAAACCAGGTTTAGGACTGGTCCCCAGGGAGCCATGCTGCTGTCCTGCTTCCTTCCCCTGAAGGACACACTCATGTACAGACACATATGGTCAGGTGGATGGCCTGCCTCGTCTTCCAGGGGTGTGCCAGCCACCCCCTCGCTGCCTGCTCTTTCCCCTGGAGATCTGAGTGCCTGGGGCGTCCACTGGAAGGCAAAACAGAAAAGGGCTTGAACACTGTAAAGGGGATTTCTCCAGGGGAGGCTTGCAGACAGGATGGGGACAGGCAGGGGGCAGCTCCATCGGCTTGTAGACTCTGCACCCAGAGGTGTCCTCCCCTGCAGCAGTGGAGGGCTCTGTTACAGAGAGGGGACACTGCTGGGCTTGGTGGCCCTCCCCTAGGTGCCCCACCCCCACAGCGCTGTCCAGAGGTTCGAGACCTCAGTCTAGGTCTGTGCATCCCAGCAAGGCTCATTCACTCTACCTCCAGAATACAAAACAGGGACAGGCATAGAATGGCCACTTATTCTATGTTTCCTGACTTAGGTCCCCCAAACATGCCTGATGTCCTCCCCTCGGCTCCCACTTTGGCCGGGCTGCTTCTTCCACCAGATATGCTTTCAACACCCCAGACCACCTCCCCGCCCCACTGTCTGTTTGCCTGGCAATTGGGTACTTACTGTGAGTTCAAGACTCACTTTAAACATTACCTCTTCGTGGTGCACCTGTGTGGTTCAGTCGGTTGAGCGTCCAACTCTAGATTTCGGTAAGGTCATGATCTCACGGTTTGTGGGATTGAGCCCCACATCGGGCTCTGTGCTCACAGCACGGAGCTTGCTTGGGATTCTCTCTCCTTCTCTCCACCCCTCTCCCACTGGCCTTTTCACTCAAAATAAATAAATAAATGTTAAAAAGAAACATCACCTCTTTGTGAGGCCTCCCTTATCTCCCCCAGATTAAGAATGACCTTCCGTGTGCCCTTCCCTCCTAACACTGCTGTCATACTGTCTGTGAATGAGCCCAGCAAGGGCAAGGAATATGTCATATTTATTTTTCACCTTCTGAGGGCCTGACAAATGGCAGATTCTAAATGAGTAATGAGGAGCGCTGATTACCCCCTGGAGAGGCTCACGGAGGCCAATGGCCCTGAGCTACCTTCCTAGCCTTCCTTGCCCCCCCCCCCCCCCCGCCGTGTTCTCTCACAGGGATCCCACAGGCAAAGAAAACGTCACGTCTATCGCCTGGTGTCCTCCTAAGGCCATGTTTCTTAGCAGTAGCATTTCTTCTGGTGGGAGCACCTTTCCAACCACCACCCTCTCTTAGAACTCATCTTGGCTACCACTTGCTCTGAGACACCTTCCTCAGTCCCTGAGCAGGAATGAGTCCTGCCCCGTGGTGTGCTTCCCGTCACCACCCGTCTCCCACGCAAAGCCTGCCTTGCAGGGGAGTCCCAGGCCTACTCAGCATGCCCTCAACAGAAGTGTGTTTCTTGTTACCCTAGTGACTACCTCCCGGAAAGCCAAACACAGTGTCCACTCACTCAGTCCACAAGGTATAAGTGGTAACTTGAATATCATGAAAGGGAGTCCTTAGTTCCTTGAGGGACCGCCCATGTAACTAACAGCAGAACCCCAGGGCCCCAGGAGAACACACCCTGGAGGCATGTCCACACTTGAAGCAGTGAGGTGGAGCCCTGGGCAAGTCAGTCAGGCCGAGACCAGCTGCCCCCGACACCCTCCCTGTATGCCCATCCCCCCCTTGCTCTTTGCTTTATGCTTTCCCAGCCCAGCCCAGCTCTCTGCCTGCACACTCCGGGGTACACCCGGAGCTCTCCCTGGAGGAGGTGCCCACGCTCAGCCTCTGGGTGCATCTACTGGTGGCTAACTCCCAATCTGATCCTAGGCTTTGAGAGTCAACTTCTCCTATCGCTCATGCATGCACACACACACACGCCCACATATACACACAAGAATATACACAGATACACAGACATGGGGTAGAATGTGATCAAGGCCTCAGATATTGCAACTGTGTTTACTGTGAGGACCAGCCCTTGGCAAACTTTCTGACACTTTCCTCGCACAGTGCCTGGCTTTGCGCAGGCACTCAACAAATATTTGTTGGATGAATAAATCACTTGCTTACCCACTTCCCACCTCCCACTAACCGTCCCCGCTTGGGCAAATGCTCTGCCCACTTGAAGTGCTGGTCTGAGCTACTACGCCAGAGCCCAGGGTGTTTTATCAGGGACCTCCAGGGACAGTGCCACCAATTTTGTACCCGGGTGTCAGTTCTTCCTGAAGTTCACCAAACGCACTATGTTATTTCTTCTTGGTCTCAGCACACACTACTGCTCTTCGTAGACTATTCCTGCCCCATTCTTTTACTTGGCTCACTCCCCACGCACCCCTCACATCTCACTGCTCTGTTGCTACTTCCTTCAAAAGTCTTTTCCAAGTGCCCCATGCCTGTCCCCAGCTGGCTTAGGTGGGTCGCACTGGACAAAGGAGAACTTCTCCAACTCCCTTTAGAACTGCTTATTCCACGCACATGGAAGGTCGGTGAAAACAAGTACGACATCGCATACATAGTTATTTACCAGGTGTGTTCATGTTATATATTTGGGGAGTCACAATAAGTCTGGGGAAGGGTCTTAATATTTCCATTTCAGATATGGGGAAACTGGGGCTCTGAGATATTAATGGCCTACCTATCATCACAAGAGCCAAGTACCAAAATCCATGTCTTCTTGTGCCAAAGCCTGTGTTCTTTTCATTTTGTTGGACGGGACAGTGGTCTCATCGGCGGGGGTGAAGATGCGGATGAGGAATGAGCTCCGAAGGCGAGAAGTCCACAGATGCTTCATGTACAAGAGCGTGGGGACTCTACCCTCTTCGCACCCATGCAACCCTGAGGTGCCCTCAAAACTAGGGGAGGCAAAGCTTTATTTCTCTGGCCCAATTCTTCCCCAACCCTGGGACTTCGGCAGAGGATATTATAAAGTTCTCTGCTTGAGATGAACAGCCCTAATTATCTGGCGATCATGTATAATAAGACTCTAAAAGCATTTGCTGGGAAGGGTTCTAAAAAATGCCGACTGAGCACAGAGGAAAGCAAATGGTGTGGCCGAAGGACCCTGCACGCTCACACCCCTTCCGAGTCGGCTACGTTAGTCGTTTCTCTGGGCCACAAAGACAAACAACCCCGTGTAGTTTGAATCCTTATCCGACAGGGTCTCGGCCATCCGCGTCGTTGTCTCCAGCTTCTCGATGGTGAAGCCGGATGCCAGCAGAGCTTCACACACCAATTTCTCCTTCAGGGGAAGACAGGGGAACTTCTTGTCCCCTACCATGAAGAAGTTGCTGCCAAAGGTCCCGCCCAGCACCAGATGGCCCCTGGGCCGGAGCAGGGTCCTGAGGTGACGCAGGGCAGCCCGGAAGGCCTCCTCGGTGAGGCAGGCAGCCTCCAGACACAGGGAGGAGAGGACGCAGTCCGCCAGGGGCAGCACTGCGGGTTCCAGGGGCTGCTCTTTATGAACGTCGCACTTGAGCACCTGTCGCACGGTTCTCCTGAGCCGCTCCTCCTTCTCAGCCCACTTGTCTCTGGGTGGAGGGAAGAGGGAAGGGTGGCCAGCTGGGTCAGCCTCATCGTGCAAGAGGCGTACATCACACTCGCCATTCTCTGCCTTTCACACGGATTCCCAGAATATCAAGTCACCAGACTTACAGACCAGGAAACTGAGTCCCAGAAAGGGGTACAGTCATGAAGGCAGCTGTGGACAAAGTCAAAGCCGAGGACCTGGAAACCCCGACCTTTCCACCTGTAGGCCCTCACTGAGCAATGCATGCCTGGCACATGGCTTTTCTCTCTCCACTAGGCCCATGTTTAAATGACCCTGGTAAGTGCAACAAGAAATGGAAAGTCAGCCTCAAGTCAGCTGAGCAGAGCTACAGAGCCAGCTTGGCCGCCTTTGCTGGGGGCCTCCGGGGTCTCCCCGTGTCTCCTGGCCACCCCACTCAACCTCCTCATCACTTTATACATTCTCTTCTTACCTACACCTCTTCTCTGCACACAGGACCCATTCATATTGAGGTACAATGAGGACTGGCACTTAAAGGTTTACTCTTTACAGTTCTATATTTTTAAAAAGTCACAGTCTAGGCAAAAGGAATCATGATCAATGTATGTCTGCAACCATCTTACCTAACTGGGGAGAATGTTATTCGGGGAGTGGAGGTGCCATGGTGGACCTTCCTGGTGCCCTGAAATTATTCAAGGTCTTAATTTTAGGCCCGCCTCTTGCGATCTACAGAAAGATTCCATGAGTCTGGAGCCACCTGCAGGTTGTAATTGGAACAGCAGGCCATTGGCCAATCAGAACGGCTGTCTGCCCTCAACCACCAGCTGGCTGCCACCCTGTAGGTCCACATCAGCCTTGGGTCACGCCTTGGCATTCTCGGTAGGCACTCATGACAATTCCCTTTTGGCTCTGGGTCTGTCTATAACCATCTGTTTCTGTTCCCTCTTTCGTTCTTTACTGGATTCACGTCACCCTCTTCCTCCATTCTTCTTCTTGGGGCCCCGCTAACTTCCTTCCTTCTTAGTCCCCACCTGCCTTGCCATTTCCACACGAGGCCCGTGATAAGTTCTCGATTCGGAGAGCTAAGTGCAGCTCGCGTCCTGGCGACCCCGAAGCAAACCACAAACCCCTTACCTGTCCCCCTCAAGCTCACACGCATGTTTCACCACTGGGGACCAGTCAAATGCCCCTGGAATCTTCTTCAGCCACTTTTCCAGCTCCAGGCGGTTCTTGTCCGTGTAGTCAGTGGCAATGATCTCCTCGAAACACTCGCAGGCGGAGAGGAGCTGGTAAATGCTGGGCCCAGAGCCAATGTCAATCAGGAGCTTTCCTTTCAGCCCACCTGTTACAGAACAGACACGTTCTAAGCCGTCAGCACCAAAGCACCGCTCTGAGGGCCTCCCAAAGGCTCCTCTCTCTCTTTCTCACTTGGAGAGGCTGTAGGAGTCAATCATTTGGGACCGTAAACTCCAGCATTCGGGGTACTGCCTGCCCGGACAGCCTTAGGTACCGCACACACTGCCAGCACTGGGCGTGGAGACGGAGGAAGGAGGGGAGAGTGAGCAGCAGGAGAGCCTATCTGGGGTGGGTGAGGGGGGAACTATTACTAGAGGACCAGCTTTGTCATTTCAACTGCCAATTTACCACTGTAAATAAGTGTTCAGAGAAGGAATCTGGTCACATTCCCAGGGACACTGGCTTCCACATTCCAAGCACTCTTCACTGAAGGGTCCTATGGCCCCACTGAGACCATCTATAACATTCCAAAGATCAATCAGCAGACATTTATTGGGCACCAACTGTATTCCTAGGAACTCTCTTAGCAGTGTGAGAAGTGGAAGGAGAATACGGACCTGCCCACAGGGCCTTTGGCCTCCCCTTCTCTCCAGCCAGGGAGGGGCTGGGTTAGCACAAAACAGCAGCAGCATTTGGAATCTGGCAAGGGGCTTCCAAGATAAACAACAAGGCAGCAAGGACCAAAAACCAGCTAGACTGAGGGATCCTGACCCCTGAGCTAGGCCTGCTCCTTTGTTCCTGGATTCTGCTGCTACGTGTTGCTTGTTTCCCCTTCATTCGTGTTACCTTGGAGGCTCACCCGAGGCAAGCATCAAGGGTTTAAGAAAATCTGATAGCAGGAGATTGTTAATTGGGGGAATTCTACCTATTGGGTTATGTTTCCTTCTCATGTGAATCATGAAAAGATCCCCATTATTTGATTTTAGTGGTCCAGGCTGCCGAGCACCTTTCTCCCCAAAGGGGCAAGTCTGAGAGCCACCCACCCACGATGTCTCCACGAGCCGCAGTGGTAATCACACAGAAGAGCGAGTGAACGCTTCCTATGCTGAATTTGGAAAGAGGCTTTCTGGGCTTTCTGATGCCCCGCGCAGCTTCTTTGGCTAGGGACTTCTTTTGTTAGAAGACAGGACTATTCAGGACCATGAAAGGTCACAGCTCCTCAACCTCATGGGAAGAGAAAAGCTTGCCCAGAGACCTCAGAGCGGTTTGGGGCATCCCACCACGTGCTATACATCAAGTACGTCTACACTCATCCCATAGAGCGGGTCTACAACGTCTCCAGGTCCAAAGTTCCAGTCAGTTGTCTAGCCACCCTCTCTCCCCACCCCTAGCCCCACTCCCACCCTGGAACTCGCCCTGGGGTTGAAGAAGACCAGCATCTGATTTTTAAATTTGCATCCCTACCCTTCCCCCCCACAAACCTCCTCCAGGGTTCAAGGAAACTAGTACCTGATTTAAAAATGGAGTGGTAGTGTTTTAGTAGGAAATTGAGGCATTCATCACCCACAGGGCTCTGGCCCATCTTGAAGTAGTTCAGGTAGACTGTGGGTTCAAAATACGTCTGGTAGATATCTGGCGTCGTGGATTCCTGGAGAGCCATAGAGAATCCTGAGTTTTGTCTGGGAAGGAGCAGGCAGCCTGATGCACGGGGGCCTTCCTAGTGGAATTCAGACTCGGTCACTCTGCCTGGCCTCAAATACTTGGGTGAAGACCAGAACAGCCAATGAAAGCATTCCGTGAGCCCTCCCCCCTTCAGCCATTAGCCTCTGTCACACTTGGCAACTCCTGTCCTGTTCTCCAGTTCCCTCTGCAAGTAGTGGGCCCCTCCTCGCCCCCACCCCAGTCTCCAGCCTTGTCAGTGCATTTGGCTCGTGTGGCAGGATCCCTAGGCCCTTCTGCTCCACAGTATTGCATCGTGCTCTACAGTGGGTTTTCAAACTATGAGAAAAGCACGTAGAGTTTTTAATCGTCTCCCCTGTGACCGCCAGTATCTATGGCTATTCTGAGGAAGGATACGTCTTAGTTGTTTTTTGATCTTTAGTGTTTTCTTTTTTTTTTTTTTAATTTTTAATGTTTATTTATTTTTGAGAGAGAGAGAGTGAGAAAGAGTGTATGAGCAGGTGAGGGGCAGAGGGAGAGGGAGACACAGAATCCGAAGCAGGCTTCAGGCTCTGAGCTGTCAGCACAGAGCCTGATGCGGGGCTTGAACTCATGGACTGCGAGATCATGACCTGACGCTTAACCGACTGAGCCACGCAGGTGCCCCAGTCTTTAGCGTTTTCTGGACTACGCCCACTCCCACAATGCCTGGTTTCGGCCCCAGACAACTTATTGGATGTGGACAATACCTAGAAAGTAGAGAAGCTAAGAGGAGCAAGTTTTAGCTGAGGGGTGAGGAGGAGAAGATAATGACCAGAGATGGGTTTAGTTTTGAGACACTCAGGTTGGGGCTGAAAAACCTAACCTAACCTGGATCCAAGTCTGGAACGACAGAGAGATCTGAGCTGGAGCTACCGATGTGGAATGAACACACAAAAACTACTTATTCTATAACTGAACGGAATTTCTTCGTCAAGTCCCATTCAACTGGGTGGCAGACATTATATCTCAATCACTTAGAGGCTTCCTTCCCCAGGCCCCAGGCCCCAGGGAGAGGGAATTCATGTGGTGCTGGGCAAGGACAGCTGGCATTTGTCCACGCTGCTGACATCTACTAATATTCCATTGCATAACCCGTCTCAGACTGCTGATTAACAAGGGTTGCAACATTCCCTTTTGGGAACCTCCATGCCCCTGTCTCTCCCTCCACCCTATTTCCATTTCCCACTCCGAAGCAAAGGAGGTCACTCTGCCACTCCCACAGGATGCTCCGGGCTGTGAAGTAACCGCAGTAACATTTCTTCTGCTCTGGTACCATATTGAGAGTCTCGGGTTTCAACACTTCCTTAGCCTCTACTCCGGGAAAGGGCATAGGCCTCCTTTGTTCACATTTTCTTCAACAAATAAGGATAGAGGAGATACCAAAATGTAATTAGTAACACAAATCTGATTGATTTACATATTGAGCTCTGCAGTCTGAACACAGAAAGTATATACCCTTTGTGAAAGCTGTCCATGGAATATTCAGGAATTTTCTGTATATGAGACAACAGAGAAATTATAAAACTTCTCCAAAGTAGAAATACTATAAAATAAAATACTCAGATCAAAATGCAATAAAACAGATATTCATTACAAAACCAGAAGAAGAAGATAAGATACTGTACCACACACAAAAATGTTTTTACTTATTATTTATTTTTTATTAAAAAAATTTTTTTAGTTTATTTATTTTGAGAGAGAGAGCACAAGCATGGGAGGGGCAGAGAGAGAGAGAGAGAGACAGAGAATTCCAAGCAGGCTCTGCACTGTCAGGGCAGAGGCTGGTGGGGGGGTTCAAACTCACAAAATGCAAGATCATGACCTGAGCCAAAACCAAGAGTTGGCCACTCAATTGACTGAGCCACCCATGGACCCCTATTTTTTATTTTTTAAAGTTTATTTATTTATTTTGGTAAGGACAAAGAAAGAGGGAGACAGAGAATCCCAAGCAGGCTCCACACAGAGTGCAGAGGCTGACGTAGGACACAGACCCATGAAACTGTGAGATCATGACGTGGACTGAAACCAAGAGTTGGATGTTCAGCCGGCTGAGCTACCTAGGTACCCCCAGAAAATTCTTAAGGTTTATTTATTTACTTATTTTGAGAGAGCGGGAGACAGAGAGAGAGAGTGGGGGAGGAGCAGAGAGAGGGAGAAAAAATCCCAAGCAGGCTTTGCACTGCCAGCGTGGAGCCTGTTTTGGGGCTCAGACCCACAAATGGTGAGACCATGACCTGAACTGAAACCAAGCGTCAAACACTTAATTGATTGAGCCCCCCAGGTGCCCCTCTACCACACAGAAATGTTTAAATTTTCTCTGAAACATTCTTGGATCGATGAGAAAAGGCAAACAAACATTTTTAAATATATAGAGAAAACAATCACATAGATGAAAAGCTATAAGATACACAACAGTGGGGAATTTATGATCTTAAATATTTATATTAAAGAACAGAAAAAAAAATAATAAATTTGGGAACTACATCCAGACTTTAAAAGGATAACAAACACATTTAAAGAAAGCATAAGGATAAAATGAATAAGAAGAAAAGCCAACATGAATACATGGACAGGTAAGGAGCACAGAAGCCAAACTGGAGGGAGGGAGGGAGCTGGAGGCGGGAGGCAGCGAGGAACACCGGGAAGGTAAGTGACAGTTCCAAACACTTGGTTCGGAAAGGGAAGAAAGGCACCAGCCACCAGCCACACGTGCATAGCCTCAGCCAGAGCGAAAAACACTACATATTTTGGCAGTAGAGCAAAAGGCAAGGATAGGGGCCAATGCAAGTCAAATTTAGAGAAATGAGTGGAAATCGGAGAGTTCACAGCTGGAAATTGTGTTTTTGCTGAAAATGAGAAGGAAAGTACATGTGTGTGAGGTTCGAGGCAGCACCAACAGTCCGTGGAAGGCAAAGACGAGGGAAAGACAGAATTGTTAGGTATTTTCAAAGGCCTAGATGACTCAGTACAAATTCGGTCTTGGTAGTTCGGTGTGATTTTTCCTCCAGAAAATCTGAAAAGTCTGGGTAGGGGAGAAGCAAAGACACAAGGTTGAGGTCACATTGGGATTTTCCTGGGCAAGTGGGATGTAAGGTGAATGGGCAACAAAGTCGAGGGACAGCCATCTGCCTATTCATTCATTCAAAACACATTCATCGAGCACCTATTACATAATATAATAGGCTAATATTGAAGAGCGCAGACTCTGGAGCTAAACTGCCTAGATTCAAAATCTACCTCCACTATTTATACGATACATCCTTGGATGAGTGATTTAATCTATTTTTTTGTCCCCTCCCCTTTTATCTGGAGTTCATGATGTTAACAGCCTACCTCACAGAAGTGTTGAGAGCAGTAAATGAGTTCAAATAAATAATTTACTCAACATAAATAACTCCAAGAATTTGGAACAGCAATGTCACTTCTGGCCACGCCAGAGTAACAGATACTGGAATTGCCTTTCACCATAAAAACTACCAAACTGAACCGAATGTGTGACCCTGCTGCTTTCAGGGATTGGCTAACAGACAGCACAGAACCGCAGTCCCATGAAGTGAGCCTGAGCTTTTACCAGCTCTCTGCCTGGGGACACTCTCCTGAGACGGCGAAATCCAAGAAGAGCCCAGTAGTCTTGCCGAGCCGAGAAGGCCAAGATCAGAATCTGGAGCTGCTAGTCGGGACTGCGTGGGGCTGGAGCCAAGGAGGAGGGAGTCATGTGGGTGGGGGCCCAAAGTCCATGTGGGTGTGCATTCTTTTGCTAGAGTTGCTAAAACAAAATACCACAAACTGGGCGGCTTAGCCAACAGAAGCTTACTCTCTCACAGTTCTGGAGGCTGGAAGTCTGGATCAAGGCGTCTAGCAGCGTTAGTGTGTTTTGAGGGCCGTGAATGAGAATCTGTTCCATGCCTCTCCCCTGGTGTCTGGTGGTTGCCATCAATCTTGGACATTCCTTGGCTTGTAGGTGCATCACCTGGATCTCTCCCTTCATCTTCCCATGGCTTTCTCTCTGTGTCCAGTTCCCCTTTTTAGAAGGACACTGGTTATACTGGATGAAGACCCACCCTAAAGTCTTCATTTTAATTTAACGACCTCTGTGACAACCCCATTTCCAAATAAAGGTCATATTCTAGAGTACTGGGGGATTGGGCTTCAATGTATCTTTTCGGGGGAACGCAATTTAACCCAGACCAGGGACTCCCTGTCAGTTTCTGTCAAGAACTGGGCTGCACAGGCACAAACTGAGACTTCATAAGAGACTGTGTAGCTGAGGAGTCGAGTGCAGAATGGAAACACTAGCAGTCACAGAGTGCTGGGAGTCATCGTTTCAGCCAGAGTAGAGAGAGCTTCCCATTGCCCCATTCAGCTGCCAGACCAGAAACGTTATGCTTTGGGAAGAAGGATCGTGCTCTAGAATAAAGGCTACTTTAGATTTACCCTAACAACCCCCTTGACAGGTGCAAGGAACGCCTCTAAGAGATTAATCACTTGCCAAAACAAAACACAACACTCTTTAAAGGAAAACAAAATAATCCGGACTCTTTCCAATAGATCACCCACAATATCTAGCCTACAGTAAAAACCTCCTAGATATTCCAGGAACCAGGAAGAGGTTACCCATAAAAATAAAAGCTATCCATGGAAACAGACTCTGAGATCATCTGTATGATGAATGGACCAGGACCTTAAGGCAGTTATGCAGAATGTGTCCAAGGAGTTAAAGAAAAATACAGTCTTAATGAACAGCAAACAGGGAATCTCAAAAGAGAAATGAAACTTCTGTTTTGTAAAGAAATTCTAGACTGGAATATACCATTTCCGAAGTGAGGAAACCACTGGTGGCTTTAACAGCAGATTGGAAATTGGCAGAAGTCAGAGCCCATAAACGTGATGACAGAGACATAAAATCTGTGTATAACCTTTGACTCCCCCCAAAAGTTACCTACTGATAGCTTACTGTTGACCAGAAGCTTTACCGTAAGTGTAAATAGGGCATTCATTAACC